AGCCCCCATGAAAACGTCAAGAAAATAAAGCAATAATACAGCAAAAAAGAAAGAAAAGACCCCCCTCAGATGGGGATACCACCATGCTAATTTTTTGCACTGGTCCCCCGTTCCTTGTAATTTTTTTGTCTCCATCGAGTATATGGACCAATTTTAAGTAGCTTAAAAGCAAAATCAAACTCCAATATTTTCCCTCAGTCCCTATTGGCGAGTGGCGACTGCTGCTTGGGAGCTAGCTAGCTAGCCTCAAATCCAATACCAAATATTTGGTGATGGAACCCACTCGAGCCCAAGGGACAGGATGGAAATCTACTTCGGGAGACAGGATTGTTATTCCACACATTCTCAAACCCATGGATTGGAAAATAATAAGGAAAATTAAAATAATTTATATAGTATTTTCATTATAGACCATAATTAATAATAGCGGTAATTATATATGATGGTGATTTATTCAATGTTTGCAAAACTTTTTACTTATTGCTGATGGCAGGTCAGTGGTTCAATTGTTTGGAGTTAAATGGGTTAGTATTATGTGGTATCACAAAGTAAATAAGAAAATTATAAAAAATAGATATAAATTTAGGAAATTGTAAAAAAAAAAAGAATTGAACATATCTCTAATATTATATATTCTTTATAGTATTCAACAACAATAAATGTGACTAATGAAAATTAGTGTTATTAATGATGAAATGCTAAAATTATTTTAAAAAATAAATAAATGTTTGATCTGTGACTTGTTGATTGGGTTGAATGGTTCTTTGATTCAACTGAATGGGTTAATGGATTGTCGACCAAATCAATATTTTTTTTTTGTAATGGACCCCGCCCCAAAAAAAAAAAAAAAAAAAATCTAATATCTAATTGCTGGATGATGAATCAACCGATCAGACCAATTGGTTGGACCACGGGTTGAAAACAATGGACCTGTGGGCTGTGGCGCCACTCCACTGTCGAGTTGGGTTGAAGGAAATCAGGAATATAGAAATTTGAATTTACCACACGGCACGTACAAGGCCTGGAATAAAGAAAGAGGGCTGGAGATGAAGCATGCGTTGGCTTAGAAAGTGATTGATGGTGCGTATCGGGAGACTGGAATATAAAAAAGGTATGCAAGGACCGAAACAACTCCTTCCGGCCCAAGAGGCACATAGAATCCACCGTACTCCTCCCCTGAATTAAACCGTGGCTTCCGTATAGTTACACAGAATTTTGTAGCTTCTTTTCACACCACTTTTCTTGTCTCGCACGAGACTTTTAACTCCTATTTCCATCCAACCACCTCATCTAATTTACGCACCCCATGCAGGAATACATGAATACAAAAACTTTTAACTAATTAAGTAAGCTCCATTGATACAAATTAAATGTCACCGTGGTCCAGAGCTCTAGCTGACCCATGTGACGACAATTGGCCTGGCTCTGTGTGTATTCGATCGATTGAGTGAGTGAGTGAGTGAGTGAATAATATTGGCATCGAAGGAAGCTACTACGGCCGGATCAGTTGTTGTCCTACGTACTCAGCTGGACCACAAAGCAAATGCAACATTTAACAATCTTCATGGTTAATGTGTTTCAAAGCTGAGCCACTTACTCTCATATACAGCAGCTTGGAACCCATTCGTAGATTGAATATATACTATACACACACATGTAGTAAACAATAATAGATATAATTATTATGCAATTCATCACATATAGTTTAGATGATGATAACAATAAAGGGGAAAGGAAGAGAAGAGCATAACCTTTATCAATGATTGGGTGGTTTGATTTAGACAAAGAGCACATGGATGATGGCTACCAGATCGAAATTCATGAAAAAGGGAATGTCCTTTGTAGCTCGACATCCGAAAATGGTGTCATCATACGCTTGGCAGGTTTCCAATATGTACTGGGCCAGTAGGCCACCTCTGTATTCTGATCTTTTTTTTTTAAATAATAATAACAAATTGTAATTTAAACCCTATAAGTTTGTGTGCTTAGAACAAGTATATATTATTAATAGCTAGCTAGCAGGTCAGTCATTGTGAGGAAAGTTTGGGAGAGAGAGAACCTTAAGCACAAGGTAACTTTTCTTATTTCAATGGGTAGTTCCTTGTTTGTTATGGTGTCTTAATGAAGGAAAACTGAAGGTGAGCAGATGCAAGAGAATTATTCTCCAGTAAGAAATTCCAAGACCAAGACAGGCTAGCATTGTTTACTTAGGCATTACGTCCTTTAGTCCTTGTATCTCAAGCCTAGGAATCCTCCTCAAAACTCACACTATCCAGGAATTWTTATAACCTCCCACCTTAACGTATTTGATTCTCCTTATATGCTTCCCTCAGATTCTTCTTATACCCCTTGTTTACTCATTGCATACTTTTTATTTCAAAACCCTATAAATCAAGTACTACTGTTATCTCGGAATAAAAATAAAGAAGAAAAACGAAAAAGGTGAGTCAGCTTTCTGTGCTAGCATCTTTTAACTAGCATACAGTGAAAGCTTGTGTATATATATAGAGAGAGTGAGAGAGAGAGAAAAAAAGTACCATCTTCCTCGCAATCCCTACCCTATACTTTGACAGTTTGCCTTGAAATTTGGAAAGTTAGCTGGCTAGGGTTAGTTATATCCTGGGTTTCAATACCTTAGAATCTGATAGGAAACCTACAAAATAGGATGGCATAAGGGGAGGGCTTTACACTAGTCATGGAAACCACTTGCCTGGTCAAAGTTTGGGATATTTCCTCCTAGCTAGTATATAAACAACCAAATTAAGCTGTATGCAATATATTAAAGGGAAAGAATCAAAATTCAAGGAGGGTATAATGGATCATAGATAAAGGTGTCCGTAAATAAACCCCCCCCCCCAAAAAAAAAAAAAAAAACTAATAAAAGTCCAAGAGGTGGACTGAACTCTAAATTTCCCAATACTTTAATAGGGTTTGATATTTAKAGATGTCAAGAAAGTATTAAAGAGCCCATATATATTGGGGTGTATATCTAATTTTAAGTTTTAACCATTGGATTTGGTCTCCTTAATTTTTTACCATTACAAGGTGGAGTATGAGAAGTATAAACTGTAAAATAAATCAAATTAAAAAGAGAATAGTGGAAAGCTATCAGCTGTCAAATAAAAGTATACAACCTTATTAGCAGATGCAGAGCAGTATATGTGTAGATGAAAATCAAGTAACAGAGACAATTATATATATATATATATATAGACGTTGGAACCATGTGCAGAGAGAAAGGAAGGAACATGACTTCTCAATCTGCATCAATTTGTACAATTTGTTTTTGGTTAAGCATCGATTAGTACAATGTGAAAAGCACATTATATGTGCTACACCTACACTTGCAACACAGTTGGAATATAATAGCACAATGTTGAAGAAGACGTAACCACAGTACTATAAAATCTTCACCATTCTTGGACGTACAAGGGAACATGCATTAATGGTGTATACCTAGAACGGGAAATATGGCCAACTCGATCAATTCAATTCAACAATTGGCATATTCTTCAAACGAGAATAAGCCTAACCTCTCGATTCAATTGGAAGTTACTTAACACAATAAACCCAACTTGTATTGTATCGGTACATAAACCCCACTCCTTTTGAATTTGATACACGCAATGACCCTTCGGTTTCATTGAGAATTTCATCAAAATATAAACAAAGGGACACTCAAAATTAAGCAGCATTTTGTATGTATATATTGTATAACAATACTTTTTCAACGCTTATATTCAGCCAAAAGTTGACACATTAAACTAATTTGCCGGTTTTATCTCTTCAATTAATTCTGTTAAGAGCAACTGTGGTTGGACAAATCCACATCAATACGCTAAAATTGAAGATTCCAATTGTAGGAGCATGATTTCTGGGTTGGGGGACTGACCCTAGCTACTACCCAGTTCAATCATCCAGACCAGGAGGCTGGGTATAAAGATAATCTATCTGAGTAATGAGTAAATATATAGAAGGTAAAAAGGAGAATGAAAATGTCAAATTAGAGGGTGGGCCAGGGTGCTGGGGGAGGCAGGCATGTGGTGCAATTTGGATTGAAACTAGCTAGCTTGATATTATCTTTCTTGGCTTGGGTGGMATGGCCGAGTAGTCTATTTGAAGTGGGGTTCCATTGGCAATGGACGACCAGTCCTTGAGCCAAGGGCACAAAGGGAATATATCAAGTATTCAGGTTGTGGGGACGAAAGGCTTCAAGTGAAGGAATATAAGATATGGACCAAATCTTACGCTTCATACGAACCTGGAGATATATATATATAATTACTATCCATTGTAATCCTCTTGTGTGCATGCATTCCAGATCCGAGTTACCACTGGACATCCAAGACTAGTAGTGCAGCGGATAAGATGTACAAAAGCAGGAGAGAGTCTTGTCAATGTTAAAGGCCTTTTGTGTGTGCGTGAGAGAGAGAGAGAGAATTTTAGGACCCTCTTTGTCTTGATTTTTGTTCACAATAATGCGTCGGGTGCCCAAGTATTTGTGACTTATCAGTAGTACCTATGTAGACGATCCGGACTCCAGGTAAATCAAAAATGTCATGGAGAGAGAGAGAGAGCACTCTGGGCCATAATATTTTAACAGTTTAACGTGCATCAAAAAAGACAGAAAGTGTCGTTGTCAACGCTAATAAGGAAGAATTAAGATCAAATCAATTCCATCAATCTATGACCCAAGCATACCTATTAAATCCCTATAAAGTTCAAAGATTTATATTATTTCAAAGTTCAAATTTCATGAAAAGCTTTCTCAGAGAGAGAGAGAGAGCATAAACTGCAGAAATGATTTGTTCATGATATCATACCCCGTGAGTGAGCCAAACTAGTCTTCCTCTCAATCCTTACCAGTACATGACAAAAACCCAACCCCCAGAACAAGACAACTCCCTGGCCGGCCACCTCACATGACCCCAGAAGACAACAGAAGCCCACCTCCTCTCTTCTATAATACCCTCTCTTTTTACCATAGATCTTCCGACGAAAGAAGAAAAAAAATGAAGGAAAAGGGAAGAAGAGTGAACAGAACCTTTTCTGTCCATGAAAAGGTTATTCAAACGCTGCTTCTATAGCCTCATTGCACCCCTCCATCCTATTACTGAAAAAGCTGATTTTGTTTAGAGGGACGTCTTTTTTTTCCTTCCGATTTTGACTTCAACTAAGTTTTTGGGATATGGGTTTTCTTCCCACTCCAATGTACAGTCCTTTTTTAGTGACTTTCCATGGAATTTAGCTTTTATTTGTATATCTGATTTGTGAGGACGTGCTACCCCGTCTTGTGTAGACCCTTTCGATTTCTATCAAAAAAAAAGCTGAACTGTCTATTTTGCTTTCTTCAAATGCAGAATTTTCCCGAAATATACTGATTCACACTAACGGATCGTTTCCCAATGGAACCGCCGCTAGTCTGGTCTCTTTCTCACTCTGCCCTCTTCTGAAATCTGAATTCAATTCTCAATCTCTACCTCCTCCTCCTCTCTCTCTTCTTCTCATACACCTTTCTCTCATTCTCAAGCTCACAGATAGACACACACACACTCTCTCTCTCCCCCATGTTGCAATTCACTGAAACACCACTTCCACCTTCCTTGCACCAATATGCAATTAACCCTTATTCAGATCTCACCATGAGCAAGAACCCATTTCATAGAACCCGGCCGTGGCCTGGATTTCCGACATCGAAGGCTCTCGGGAACTTCGGTGATGCCAATTGCATGGAGCAGCTGCTGGTGCACTGTGCGAACGCAATTGATAGCAACGATGCCACCTTAGCCCAACAGATCCTCTGGGTTTTGAACAACATCGCTCCTCCGGACGGAGACTCCAATCAACGCCTCACTTGTGGCTTCCTCCGAGCTCTTATCGTCCGTGCAGCAAAAACAGGAAGTTGCAAGATGCTCACAGCAATGGCCAACGCCAACGCTAACCTAGCTCTCCATGCCCACAAGTTCTCCGTTATCGAGCTTGCTAGCTTCGTTGACCTCACCCCGTGGCATCGATTTGGCTTCACCGCAGCTAATGCTGCCATTTTAGAAGCCATCGAAGGGTTCTCTGTGGTCCACATCATTGATCTAAGCTCCACCCACTGCATGCAGATCCCAACACTAATTGATTCAATTGCAAACCGTCCAGAGGGTCCACCCTTTATCAAGCTCACAGTCGCCGGCGCCACCACCGATGTCCCCCCGATGCTTGACCTATCCTATGAGGATTTGGGTTCAAGGCTGGTGAATTTTGCGAGGTCTCGGAATGTAGGGATGGAGTTCAGGGTGATTCCTTCCAGTTCTTCTGATGGGTTCGCATCTTTGATTGAACAACTTCGTGTGGTGCAGCAGCTAGTATTTGCTGAAGGAGGAGGCGAAGGAGAGGCTCTCGTTGTAAACTGTCACATGATGCTTCATTACATACCAGAAGAAACCCTCGGTGTAACCCCTTACAGTTTCGAGTCTTCTACTACATCTTCTCTTCGAACCATGTTTCTTAAAGCGATTCGCAGTTTAGAGCCCACGGTCGTTGTTGTAGTGGATGAAGATGCAGATTTCACATCAAACAACTTGGTCTGTAGATTGAGATCAGCATTTAATTATCTATGGATACCTTACGATACGGTGGATACATTCCTTCCCAGAGGGAGCAAGCAAAGGCAGTGGTACGAAGCGGATATATGCTGGAAGATAGAGAATGTGATTGCACAAGAGGGTGTGCAGAGGGTCGAACGTCTGGAGCCCAAAAGCAGGTGGATTCAGAGAATGAGAAATGCAAATTTTCGGGGAATCCCATTTAGCGAAGAGTCTATTTTAGAGGTCAAGAGCATGCTTGATGACCATGCCGCCGGTTGGGGGTTAAAGAAGGCAGAAGATGAAGGTCTTGTGCTTACATGGAAAGGACACAATGTTGTGTTTGCTACTGCTTGGGTCCCTACTTGAAACATTTTTTCTCTTCTTTTCTTTTCGTTTTTACTCTTTAATCTGTAAACTCCTTCGTCGTCTCTCATTCCACAGCTTTTCTATTCTCCAGAAGTGTACGATCCATAGCTTTTATGCTCTCTCTCTCTCTCTCTCTCTCTCTCTCTCTCTCTCGTGTGAGAACTGAGCAGTACTTTTCCCCTTTTGTTGCCGTAGCGTTGCATTGGACATATCCTCGTGTGTTTCTTTATGCTTCGCGTTCTGCGAATGTAATGTATATATTCGTGTTTCTGTGTTTAGAGCTGTGTGAGGAAGTGTGTGTGATCTCAGAGTCAGCGCAATTTGCAGGGTTCTCTTGTACACTACAGATTGGTATACGGGAAAATATGAACTTTCAGGTATTATTACTCTTCCAGGAATCATTTACGAAACTAAATAAGATTTCTGTTTCTTTCTGAGCATAAGGCTTAAAGCCACAAATTAATTGAACTATGCAATACTGATTCTTGGATCTAGCGTTATATGTGATGGCTTGGTGAAAAGCAGATTTGCTTAGTCTTCGGAGTGATGGAGACAACGAAGGGCGGTTTTAATTTCCAAAAACTTTCGACTTGCAATGAAGTAGTCAAGTAGATAAATTTGGTAATTAAACCCTGAATGCAGTCCAAGTGGTTTCAACTCATTGTTATGAAAATTCCTGTAATTTTTTATAGGAGAAATAATCAATATGGTCAGAAGATTATTGGATTGTGAAGAAAAACATTGGGAATTGACACACGAAGATCATCCCCCATCCATTTCATGACGACAACTAGTTGGCTTCTGGTTTCAATTTCTTGACTTTGCATTGAAGTTTTGATTAAAAAAAAACAAAAGCTAAGGATGGTTCAATTTTCCAAGAATATTTGGAGAGAATCTGCATTAATAATAGATAATTAATAATATTGTGTTAATTTATTGTAGTATTATTTTAGGGAGTTCTCATTAATGGAGAAGCCAGGGGATGACATTTTTGGCACGAAACAGAAGAGAGTTCTCAAAATAAATGCTGAGATACTACCACCCTCCCACCCAAAACTCGAAACAATGAAATCTTAAGTTTATCATTTCTTTTCAGGTTAACTATGAATGCAGATTTTACATTTCAATAATACCAACTAAATTGTGTAGATGCTTATCAGTTGATTGTGCTGAAACAATCTGTAGGCTACGCTCAATGGTTTGCACTACCGGTTTTGACCAAATTTATCTTCTTTGCTGTTTCTTTTGAATAGTAGTTGAGATAAACATTGTCAACTGTGCAGTGGCCTCTGATCTGATTAACCCCAAGTGTAATTTTCCATGCATGGAAGGGAATGTATATCAACATATCTACGTGATTTTCAATCGCAGCATTAATTTATTCTTGTACTATCTCTGCGACTTGTTTGGACGTGATTATCAACTACTAGAAAAGATATTTTCATGTATGGTGCAAGAAACCGAGAAGCTGCTTATACACCAACTGTAGGTCTGTAATTAGTAATTACTAAATGCAATAGCGGGGGCAGAGCGAGGGAGAGCGCTTGTCTTGTGAGTTATGTGATCACCTTGATTTATCAACAATCATCTTGCCATTTAAATATTTTATTGGTTTGAGAATAATTTATTATTAAAATAAGGGAAATTGTCTAAAATTTTATTTCTCTTAAATTTACATGACTTTCTAAAGAGTTTGGATTTGCTCCTCAAAGAACACGCCTCACACCGAATTCACAGCATGTTTCGGCAGTGCATCTGGAACATCCCTACTTGTAAATTTTTAATTCATGGGAAGATGTTCCGGATGTACGGCTGAAATGTGCTGTGATGTCGGAGGGAGGCACGCTGTGTGAGGAACTTCAAAACGTCCAAGAACCCATGTCAGTAGAGTCCGGATCTCCTGCCCATGAGAACTCTGCCCACGTTTATCCACACATGGAGAACATCTCATCTTCTGCATAATATCATGCAGGGGGAGATGTTCCCAATTCACAAGGGATAGTGTATTATGGGTAGGCGTGGGCAGGATATCTAGAATCATGTCAGTAAGTTTTTGTTTTCCAAAACCCACTATTGGTTACAGTACCGTTAGTGTACATTGAAAGTTCTCTATGTGAGAACAAATGTAAATTTCATTACCAAACTACCCCTGAATGGTGAGTCAGCCTTGTTAAACATATTTTTATGACTAAATGCCCTTAAACGCCCAACTGCCTTATATATATAAGATTTCTGCTCTTTGAGAGACACTTTGCTCTCTCATTGTGCTGCTTGAAAGTATTCCAATGAAGCTGAAAAATGGGTTTGGGTCGAATAACAACAGGTATTTCTCAAATATTGAACATATTTTTAAGACTAAAATGCCGTTAAATTCCCAACTACCTTATACATTGTTTTCAAAACCAGACCAGACCGGACGGTCGGACCGAAAAAACTGAGAACTGGTCACTTGACCGGTTCCGTTTTCCTCCAAAACCGCTTTTTCCCTTAAAACCGTTGATTTTGGTCAGCAAACCGCTGAACCGGCCGGTTAATCGTTCGAACAGTTTTGACCGTTTTGCAATTTTTAAAATTTTTTTTTGTCAAAACGGGCCAGTCGTTCAGGTCAAACGATTGGATCGGTAACCGGACCACTGACCGGTTCGATCACCGATTTGTTTTTAAAAACCAATGACCTACTAATATATAAGATTTTTGCTCTTTCAGAGACGTTTTGCTCTCATTATGCTTCTTGAAAGTATTCCATGGAAGCTGAAAAGTGCGTTGTGGGTCGAATAATAACAAGGGTATTTCTCAAATATTGAAAAATGGGTCAAATATAACAAAGGGTAAAAAAGCAACCTACTAATATCTATTAGTCTGTTTAACGTCAAGTTAATGACATGGGGTTCCTTGGACATTTTGAAAAGTAATGGTAAATTTAAGAGAAATGCTGAAAAGAGTTTTAAGACAATTTCCCTTAAAATAAAAGCATTAGTTAAATGGAAATTTGCAATAAATTGAAACTTCATCCAATTAACGAATTTTCTCTATTTATGTTAAAGCTTGTTGTTTTCCTATGATCCAATAGCTGCATAACTCCAGTCCACAAGCTCTTGGTGGTAAGATCGGAGACTGACTCTCTCGGGCCCCAACCCTTAATCCCCTAAAACGTGTAAAATGTTATACTAGAAAATATATATATATATGGCCCGTTCAGTTCGAGGAATAAGGGTCTAGAATCGGAATCAAAATAGGGTATTCTAATTCCAACCATTTGATTTGATGGAATTGGAATCCCATTCCCATTTCTGCTGGAATGACATTCCTCCATTTGAGGAAATGGCCATTCCCTGCCCCTCTCTTGGGAATGAATTAATGAAATCTCATTCCTGCGGATTCCAACTCCCATTCTCATTCCTGTCTGAACCAAAAGGAGTTTAGGAATAGACCATTCAGATTCCAATTCCAAAGGATTTCGATTCTGATTCTGATTTCGATTTCAACTGTGAAACTTGAGAAATGTGTCATATGAAAATATATTTTGATGTAAGTTGCTTTTCTGTTTTCTTTTCTTCTTTTCTTTTCTTCTGTCTTAGTTGTTGTAAGGTTTGGTTTTGTTCCGTCTGTATTATATTGTTCTCATAATGTTTAAACTAACAACCTCATCAACCTGGCATTTGAAAGTTGTTTAGTTGGAATTAGGGGTGTTAATGGACTAGACCAAACCAAAATCAATTTGGATGGATTGGATGTACTGACAAGACATATTGAATTGGATCAGTCCAGACTTAATGGTCCAAAGTATTTATTGGATTGGATTAGTTTGAATCCGGTCCATACGTAATGTATTTATATTGGATTGATTTGGATTGAGCTAATATCTAATCCATTGATAGAAAATAGAAACATAGGTGTCAATGGACCGAATTTGGTTAGAGCTATTCTAAATTAAAACAAAATTGAACATATTGAACAGTCCATACATTCAATTGGACTGGTTAAAAATATTCATTAAATTGGATTGGGCCTGGTCCATTTGTAATGGACTCACATTGGACTGGATCCTGTTGGACCAAATCCAGTCCGATTGACACCCCTAGTTGGAATGCTACTGCAACTGCAATTTAATTGAAGGAGAGCAAGAAGACAAAAAAAAAAGAAAAGAAAAAAAAACCAAGACAAGAATAAGCAAGAGAAATGTACGGTCTAATTATTTCCCCGCAATCCAGAGGATTACAAAGCCTCTAAATAATCCAAAAAAAATGTTTCTTGCAAAAAGAAAACAAAACAGAAAAGAAAAAGAACCCACCTAATGAATCTAATGGGGCTCATGTTATATGTCGCCAAATCTTCTCCCGAATTGGGCTGGCCGTTTATTCATTTTTCTATTTTTTGGTCAAAACTGATTGAACCGTGGATTATTCAAGATGTTCATATATTTTCACTATTTCTCCCATCCCGGTAAAAATCATAAGCCGTGGAGCCTTTTGGGTTTTATGCCGATCCAATTTAGAAAACAAAAGCCGGGGGAGCTTGTGTTCATCTGTTTGCACTTGGGCTATGGATTTTCACAAAATAAGAGAAACAGAAGAGAGAGAAAAGAGAGACAAGTCAATATAATATCCCTCGACATTCTATTTCTCTTATTTTTAATCAATCAAAATACAGTCCTAGGGAAAGCAACACCAACGGCGTCACGTTTTAAAACGTCAAATCAGTCCTCCATTATAAAGCACAAAAATTAAAAAATAAATAAAATACATCCTTCAATAACGTTTTTACTAATATAGTGTCTATTCTTGCCATGGCTTCATATAAATCATAAAATAAAATCAGCATATCATATAATAATCAGTTAATATTTGTAAATGAGGTTAATTCAAATATTTTAATTTTTAAATTTAAATCTAATCTTTTAGTTTAGAACTTTACAGTTTATGCATTTTCACCTTTTTATCCATTTACTTTCCTTGCTAAAATATGGTACCAATTGTTGGGTTATGGCTTGGATGGGAAGATTGTCGTTTTTAGATTAACAGAGTACCTGCAACAAAATGATTGATTCTACGACCCATAAAACATCTTTTAAGTTGAGATCAAATCAGCCCCTCACAAGATTGTCTCCCACAACCTTCCACAGCACATCCCAAAAATGATGATACCATCATTAGGAAAAATTTCCAAAACACAGCGAAAATGTGTGGTTGGATATTGCAGGGAGCAATTTTGTGGGAAGCTGATTTGAACCCTTTCAAGTTCAGCTAATCAGTTTACATAAAAAAACTATACTAGCACATGTTTAATCCCAAAACTCCATATTGGGAGAAAGGATAGCAAACGATCATCCTAAATATAAATTCGAATCTGTTATCCACAACACATTGCCTGATTCCATAAAAGAATATTTTCGTTTATTACTGTTCAGTGATCAGGACTTCAAACCCATAATATGGACAAAGGAAACAGAGATTAGACGTCTTTCTCTAACAGCAATAATTTAATTATATCGAACAAAATTATATTTAGGGCTGTCAATGGGTTGTGGGATCTACCCAACAGTCCCAAACCGACAATCTAATTATAAGTTTATAACGGTTCCGATTCCTGATATTGTACTGATAAATAGTTGGGTTGGTTCCAATTATTGGCTGTCCAAATAGTTTTTATTATTTTTTTATTTATCATATTTTATGCTTAAAATAAATAACATATAAAATAAAAATATTTAATTATTAACATATAAATAATTTCATAATTTTCTCAGATACTACCATCAAATTTTAAATTTTAAGTAATTATATAAATAACTAAATATAACTTTCAATACAACATTGGGTCTGAACCAACCCAATGGACCTGACTATCGGTTTAGGTCAGACTCTATCCAGACCCAAACCGTTGACAGCCCTAAATTTAGATTGGAGAAAACCCACAAAGAATTCGTTATGCCTGGATGTTGAAACAAAAAATAGAATATTGTAAATGGAAGGAAAATGTGCAAGCATTAAAATTGACACCGTCCTCGACCAAAGAAATAACATGAGAAAAAGTAACCGGATACGAGATCAGGAATATATATTCGATTGAGCACCAGGGCAATCAGCTTCACATTTAACTAATAAATGATGCTTTTAGGTTATATTATTGTGGTAAAAAACTAAAAAAGAATAGAATTACGAAAAAAACAAACGAGACCATCACTATTTTTAATTGGATGATCTAGCAACCTCCAAATCGTGTATATTTATCGATCTGATTTTCTGGTCGGATCCACCCAAAAGATGCCAAAAGGGAAAATAAATAGCTGGGCAAGATGAGTTAGAGGACGAAATGGATATCGTCTTAAGTATCAAAAAGATGTTTTATCAAAAAATAAAGCTCTCAAGTCTCAACCAATTCCAGTACAAGTTCACAAAAATTATCAACCAACCATATTAAAATAGCAAAGCCTAGACTACCATACGTCAGAAAATCCCGCCAGCAACATTCATGGTCCATTCCTCAGCGGTACTGAAAAGACACAAGCCATTTAACATTAAATTAACTTGACATTTTTTTCAAACAAACAGCAAAAAGCCCAAGGTTTTATTAACCGTTAGAAATAAAGGAAGCCTGTGTGTTTTGTTAGTATGAGTTTTTTTATGTTGGAGAGTGAGCAAACATTTTTTACGCCTAAGAACAAGCTAGGCCTCATGGGAAGATTCATATAACTTCATTTTTTTTTTTTGAAGTGTGCATTTTCATGGGGTCCCAGCAAAAGGATACAAAAACTGTAAACACGTTTACTAGCATTCATCAAAAATTACTAGGGATTTAAACAAGCATGAAACATGAACATACAACCCCAGACACTAGCATTAGGTTAAACTAGAAATAGATGGAATTCTAACTGAAATAAATATATTAAGGGGAAACTAGAATCTCACTCACTTTGATGAAGCCAATTTCCTTGGCATTGCTACGGAAGCACTGTCTGCAGCACATAAGTCCATATTTCCGGATCAGTCCATGAGGATTCCCGCACACTCGGCTGACAAATTGAAAAAAAAAAAAACATCAGAACAATTAAAGCTTGCTAAAAATCTTAAGGATATCTGCGCATTTGATTTACTCAAATAGCAGTACTGATTTCACGTAGGCTACGAATTCACGAATAATGATGCATCCAAAACAACTAATTTCAAACTTTAATGGATAAATAAAAAATCATCATACAGAAGAAATAACCAATGGGATAAATCATCATGTACATCATTACAATACATTAGTGTGACCTTGCATGAGTCTACAGGTGCCAATAGGATAAATTAGTAGCTCTAGTTGAATTCAGAAATATTTACTCATTCAAGTGACCTGGTAGCTATAGGTGCCAGTGATAACCACAATGCACGGCACACTAGTTTCTAATTACCATAACCACAGATTCCCTATTAAAATGCCATGTGGATTCGGAACAGCAATCAAAAAGGGAAATGAGGATTGGGTTCTGATGGGTAGAGTAGGTACTTGTCACGTATTGGCTACACAGCGAACAGGTGATTATATGAAGGAAAAATCATTCATTCAAAATATGCAAATAACCAGATAGCCTCACCAAGTATGAAAAACTCACAAGTCTTGGCATTCCCAAAAGCTAACCACATAACCAAGTTGCATTAGTGGAACACATTTTTTTCTCATGAACAAAACGAAAAAAAATTAATATCAGTATATCACTGACAAAAGACCTACTCAACCCACTGAAACTTTTGATTACACTATTGCAACTTGTGACTAGATGGAAAATACAAATTCAGGGATCATGTTGATAAGGGCTCTGGGTACTTTAATATCACTATATCACTGACAAAACACCTACCCAACCCACTGAAGCTTCTGCTCGAAACTACACTTTTGCAACTTGTGATTAGATGGAAAATACAAATTCAGGGATCATGTTCATAAGGCTCCGGCAACTTTAAGTACAAATGTACGACGATCGCATTATTCCATCTGCCCCAATTGTGTGATTTGCATCCAGATAATTGAAATCATTGGACATTGCACAAATAAGGCTTTGATTGACTTTAAATGTGAAAATCAATATAATACTAATGATTTAAAGGGACCTAAAATGACAAAAAAAAGTGGTTAACGGTTCTAGTCACTACTAAACCATAAGAATTTCTCAACTACAGAGGGCAATTTACACCATTTCCATGGTTGCTAACGCATGGCTTATACAAAGAAAAAATATCTTAACAATCATGTTACATGTCCTGCAACCACTTGCATATGATCTTGACCAAGTTTAAATACTATAGTTGTGAAAATCTTACTATATATAATATGAGTATATGACCCACAAGAGTATCGTTTTGAATCTTACATTTGGACCCTGTTCTTAAAAAAATATATCTGCAGTTGCTGTTTGGATCTTACTCATATTTGTCTCTTTTACCCATATCTGTTATCAAAACCTTAGAAGTTTATTTCAGTTTTGTAAAGCAGTTGGTCAGTCGATTTGTGAGGTCTATTTGCGTAACGAGGCTATGTAAAATCAAACTTTCAACGATATCAATCTTCGATAGATCCTGCCTTAGCGACTACCCAAAGCTTTCTTTATGAAACCCATAAAGAACACAAATCATTCATACACACCAATTTAAAGTTTCTTTGTGGCAAGTCTCATATTTAAGAAAGAGAAATTTGGGGTTAGTCTCGCATATTAAAAGAGAAAGAAGAATATTGCAATAGATGGACTGTTATGGAACAAATAATATAGTATAGAAAGTGTTTCCGCATTTCAACTACAACAATTCTAAGGCTCAAGCCAGAAAATATCCAGAAGAAAACCCTCACCATGCGCGGGATCCAGGACCGTAGTTCTTTGGGTGCGAATTCCATACATTTGAGTGACCCATCGCTCCCTGCCTACTTCACTGTGTTGCAGAAGAAAACCCTAATCTCTAGTATTCGAACTTTAGGAGAGATTCTGGCCAGAGAAAAGAGGGAGGCGTTTTGGCTTTTATAGCTCTCATTGAAACCCTACTTCCTAAACGCCTAGTCGCCTACGCTACTTAACGAACCAATGCTATGTCTCGTTCAAAGAGTACATACGTATTAGGATGATGGTAGATTCCAATCTGACGGGCGAAAATAGTTACCCGTCAAATGGGAAATTCTGTTGGGTTGGGAAGTAAAGCGAGAAACAAGCTTTTTATTATACCTGAATAACCATTACCGGTTGTTTGGTTACAAGGTTTGCTGGTATTATGATATGATTTATCTATTTTTTTTATTCTCTGTGTTTTTTTTTTAAATATAGAACACTAATCATTACTTATCTTGATTATATTAAACAACCAATGAGATGTACTTTCCCACAACTTAAATAATCTCTTCTCCTAAACTACCTCCCCCACTTTCTCCAAAATTATCCTTAATTCCACTTTATCTCCAAAATTATCTCCAATTTAGTGGAGAGTTTCTCTCCTAAATTATCTCTAATTCCTATTCATCCTCTCCCCTACTTTTTATCTATATCTATCTAAAGAAAATTTGGATTAAAAAATTTCAGAATTATTTAAATATTCTAACAAAATTATATAATATCTATAAAATATTTATTGAAAACACAAAAAAAAATAATTTTATATTTTTACAAAATATATCACAAAATTATGTACTAACAATTTAAATTATGTTTTTCTAGATTATCAATTTAAATGTTTTTCAAATATTTAATAATATGTAATAGCTTTAAACAAATAAAATTCAAATAACAAAAAAATTTAAATATTTTTTAGATTATTTAAATATTTATCATAACTATATTTTAAATAGTTAAAATAACATAATTATGTAATAAATTTAAAAATTTTTTCAAAGTAGAAAAATAATTATAGCATAATATTGAAATTAATAATAATTTAATATATTACAAAATTAATATGAAATTATGTAATAACAGTATAAAGTATGATTTTATGGATAATTAAATTGAATAAATAATTAATATTTTAAAATTTAAATATTTTACATATTATTTAAGTATTTAAATAACTAAATATTTTAAATAACAAAATATTTAACATAACTAGATTTTAAATAGTTGAAATAAATAAATTATGTAATAAATTTAAAAACATTCTAAAAATTACAAAAATAATTATAACATAATATTGAAATTAGTAATAACTTAATATTTTTAATTAATATTATAAATAAATAATTTCACTTATATCAAGGAATAATTCGAAAAAATAACTTTCAAATCATTAATATTTATTAATAATAATTTTAACTCTTAATCTGTATTTATTATATAATTATATATACTAAAATTAATATTTATTGTATTTCAGTAAATATTTATTATTTTTTGTGATAAATGTATTTTCAATGATTATGTATAAATTTATTTTGTTTTGATTTAACATAAAACTTTCAATAATTATTAGAGATTAAACTACTAATATTGAATTTTTAAATTTAATTTATTATACTTATTGTATTTATTGTATTTTTGTTATAACTTATTGATTAATTGATATTTATTAGAGATTAAACTATTATTTGAGATTATACTATTTATTGACTAAGCTAACATATTTTTAGTACTTATTGTATTTTTGTGATTTTTGTAATTATTGTATATTTTCAATAATTGTGTGTTTACGCTATAAATTTTTAATAATTATTGGAGATTAAACTATTGTTATTTATCGGAGATATGACTATTAGTTTAGCTAAAATTATGAGTGTTGATAAGTTGGTTTAGACATGTCGTAGGCTATTTGGCCAACCAAATTGACCTGCCCAGGTTGGGGAGTTGGTCAGCTGAAGCAAACTAACCTTTTGTGAAAATCGACCCACTCAAGTTGTATCGGTTTGGGTCGATTTTCATAGAGGGTCAGTTGGTGCAAAAGATTTAAACTTAAAATTTTAATTTAATTTTAAAAAATACAGTGCAATTGTAAGTAAATAGTGGTCACTTGGATCATTATAACAGAGGAAGTGTCAAACTAATACTATGCAAATGACTGTCATCAGTCCATAACTCATCGCACATTTGCAATGATTTCATAACTTATCACACAACTGTGATAAACTCGTGGCTGAAACAGGCTGCGATTAACTAAATTTTGCAATGAGTTATTTGTGCCATGTGGTTGATACTCAATATATCCTTTTGATCATTTCTATCTTCAAATTGAATATTCGGTGGACGGGGATAGTGTTTTCAAAACTTGATCAAATCATATGGTTAGACAAAAAAATTGGGAACTAGACACCGTTTCACCTCAAAATCGCTTTTTGTCCAAAAACCATTTATTTGGTTAGCAAACCGCTTACATGGGCGGTTGAACCGTCAACTCGGACAACAGTTTTGGCCTTTTTTTTTGTTTTTCTATTTATTTTTTTTGTCAGAGCAGGTCATCCATTCAACAGACAGACTGTTCGACCCCATAACGGTTCTCTATCTGATCCAATTTTAAAAACCTTGGATGAGGAATGGGTGCCTTGCCTTGAGCTTGGCTAGGTGTGTGGCATGGCCTGACCCATGGACCAGCCCGATCCACGGTAGGGCACAGGCTCATGCAGGCTCGAGCTGTGGGCCGTGCCGAAACGACCCCTCAAACTATCCTAGAGGAGGGAGGCACGACTCGGGATGCCTCGTGGGCCAGCACGACACGACTCACACTTTTGTGTGGGCCACATGTAGGTCATGTCATGCCGACCCAGCATGACCCAATTTACACCTCTATTTGAACCTGCCCAATTCTGGGAACGGGGTAGGGAAATTCGAGGATTCTCCATCCTTGATGAGGAGTAGAATGCCTTGCCCCTGAACTCGCCCAACATTGAGGAGTGGTTACTTTGCTTTGAACTCGCGTGTCACTAGGGACGGAGCAAGAATAGGGTAGAATGTCTTGACAATGGGGTGCCTTGCCCTAAACCCACCCCGTTGTCATTCCTATATAATTGTTAATTATTAGTGGAACAACAATTATTAAAACTACTACAAATTATTAATAAAACTAAATTTATTAAAAAATATTTATTTATATTCAATTAACAATAGTTATTTTTTTATAAATCAACATTAAATGAAAAATAAAATTATTAAATCTTTCAGATTTTACCATGCATTGCACGGGTCTCTGCTAATAAATTCTTAAGAATGCATGAAATCGTGAATTGATTTTTATCGCCATAGCTGGTGTGATCATATGTGCTCTCATGTGGAAAAAAATATGCGTATAAAATTATAAATACATAATTATAGACTAGAGGTTATATAAATATTATATATAATATATTTTATAACTTTTAATATACTTTAAATATGGTGTATTAATGGCAAGTTCTTTAATCTTTAAAGCAAATTATTACGATTCAAGTCTCTTAAATTAAGTTTTTTTCAAATACATATGTAATAAATTAATATGTAAAATAAAGAGTCATTAATTAACATAAATTAAAATATGAATTAATAGTAATTAAACAATATATGAAAATAAGAGGTCATTGATAGGGGTGTAAACGAATCAAATTCGAATCGGATAAGGCAATATCCGAATTCGAATCCGATTAGAAAATTTGATATCTGAATTCAATTCGATATCCAACGGATATTGAAAATTAATATTTGAATTCGAATCAAATTAAATATTCGAATATTCGATTCAATTTGAATTTGAATTCGACTAATTAATTATTTTAAGTAATTAATAAATATATAAAATAAATGTTTTATTTATATAAAGCATATAAATATACAAATTATTTATATAATTTAATTATTATATAAAACATTTAAAAATTTTATATGTTATATATAAGAATTAAATAATCGGTCGAATTAGGATATTTTTCGAATCGAATCAGGTCATATTCAAATTCGAATCCAATTAGCTATTCGGTATGAATAGGATATCCAAATCCGACCGATTCAATTTTCGAATTATTTGAATTTGATTCGATTATACCGAATCTTGAATTCGAAATCGGATTTTCGGATACCGTTTACACTCCTAGTCATTGGTTCGTATCTTGCTAAGCACATTTTTAACTTTCTATTAATTAAGGACCCAAGCAGTTTCATGAAATCGGGACCAATTTATCGGTTTTTCTGATTAAATCATCTAATTAGTCGGCTTTTACCAGTTTTTTAACCAAAGCGGTTACTAGGGTATGACGACCAAGGTCCCGGGTCACAATTCAACCAATCCAACCTATTGGTTTAGTCTGTTTTTCCAAACACTAGTTGTAACTAGGGGTGGCAATGAGCCAAGCTTTTCACAAGCTCAAGCTTAACTCGGTTTTAACCAAGCTTCGAGCCAAGCTTGAGCCCAATTTATAGGCTCGATTGATAAGCGAATCGAGCTCGAATATATATATATATATATATATATATAATTATAGAAAATAATTTATATAATAAAAATATTATAATTCTTATTTTTTAAATATCAAATAAAAAATATTTTTATATATAATTTTTTATTTTATAAAATATTTTTCCTTAAATCGAGCTCGAGCTTATGAGTTTTTGACTCAAGTCGAGCTCGAGCTCAATGTTTTAGCTTGAACCGGGCTTGAGCTCGAGCTTGAGCCTTATACAACCTTGGCAAGCTGAGCTTGAGCCTCATACTATTCGACTTAGCTTGGCTCGGCTCAAATCCATCCCTAGTTGTAACCCTTATCGTAGGTGTTGAACCCAACTCGAACATCACCTCTTTGTAGAATTTTCATTCAACGGTAAAGAATAATGACTAGTATTGAGTTTTGGGTTTCACTATGATACCGAAAAAGATATGGCATTTAAGAAACTTGTGATCAATGTTTTCGAACCATTGTTGATTCGGACGGTCAGACCGTTTGGCCTGGAAACCATCCAGGCAACTGGTTCCGTTTTACCCAAAAACCCAGAATCTAGTAAAAAATTGTTGGAAAAGTCAACAAACCATTAACTCGGGTGGTCAAACTGTCGACCCATCGACCTGTTCAACGATTTTTGATTGTTTTTTTAATTATTTTTTAATTTTATTATTAGAACGGGCCATTTGTTTGAACCGGACGGTCATATAGTTAACCCAGAAACGAATGCCCAAAACAGTTCCATTTCTGAGTTATTTTTTAAAACGTTGCTTGTTACCAATAATGTGTTAACGAATAAGGTGGTATTTATGAAAATTCATGATTAGGTTTTAATTGGTAAAAACCCTTACAGTAGCATGTCTTTTCGGCATTTTCGATTTTCCCTCTGAATTTCTAAAAGGATATGTTAGGCCAAAATTGGTAGGGGAGCATTGTTCTGTTAAAACCGAAAAACCAAATTGAAAATCTTCATTTTGATTTTTTCAATTGAGTTATTTCAAATTTTTATTACTTCGATTTTACAGAAGTTTGGTTTTGGTTTTCAAGTTTGAAAAATTGGTTAACCAAGTTTCATTATTTCAATTTTACTTGGGTTTTTCATTTAAAGCTTCAGTTTTAAAACCGATTACTCACCTCTACTAATTGGTAAGTTCATCGTGTCTCTACCATCCAGGTCTTTACACGAAATGCGCCTTATTGGGTTCCAAGTTCCAACCTAATCATTGCAGTTTGCAGGAGATTGATCTCATTTTGTTGTTGTTGTTGTTTGGTGTCAGCAATCAATTGAAGTTGTTTTGGTTTGATGACATTGATTAAAGTGTCATTCAACAAATCCATTTGTGGTGGACCATATGAATTGATCATGACCATCCTTCATTTGGAGGATAATTTCATTCAATTACTTATAGTCTAGAATATTGCACCTGGCTATAAGGGTTAATTTTCTAACTCGGTCCTGTAAATCTTTCATTATTTTCACTTGTACAGAAAAAAAAAAGAAGTGCTATTACTTACTTTAATCCCACTAAAATGATTTCCAAGTTACCACATTTTTGTGAGAATTGAGATATTTGCCTACAAATCTTCTATTTGAATAGACTTTTCTAATTTAATAACTTGTTCTCATTTTATTATATAAAAATAGACCTGAACATCATAGACGGCTATCTATTGAAAGAGATTCACCTCAAGTTATCAAATGTTAGGCAGACCGCAGACGCATGGAGAAGATTCAAATCCAATGGCTTTTACGATGACACAAAAGCTTGCAGTGCGTCACGCAATACGCACTTAAACGTAATTTCCACCTCTGGAAGAACGAGAAATTCAACGACAACGAGGCCGCAGAAAGCCTGCCTTCGTTTTTTTCACCAAAGAGACAATGGTCACCGGTCACCCTTCCTCGGAGTCCGCTGAGAAACCAGGACGCACCAATAAAGCACTAGTGCGGCAGTGCTGTAAGCCTCAGATCTTCCGAGGGAACCCTGAGAACACCAAACACGTTAATACTGTGAAACAGGTAACTCGTTCTAACGTCGAAAACTTCGAGCAGATGTACATGTAAACTCTGATGACCGGAGAAAAACTACTTCAGACGTCCACAGATCTTTTAAGTTGCACGAAGACCCAACTCAATAACCTTTCAACTCATATTTAATTCAAACTTCGTAGTCCAAACAAATCCATAGGCTCTAACCTTTATTTATTTATTTATTTTGGTTCTTTTGCTGTCTATTGTTTTTGATGTGTGAGAAATAATATGTTGGTAGAGGATACAACGGGTAAATAAATCCAAAATCGAAAATTTTGCATTGATTTCTCTTATATTCTGGTTCTTGATCATTGGATTAAGTTTCCTTTTGATGGGTGAAGAACAATTGGTTAGTAATGCCAAGACCAACTCAAAATTGACCCTTTTACCTTTAATCGCTCTTATCTTCTATGAAGTCTCTGGAGGTCCTTTTGGGATAGAAGACTCAGTCAGGGCCGGAGGGGGTCCCCTTCTATCTTTGCTTGGTTTCTTAGTATTTCCCCTAATCTGGAGCATCCCGGAAGCTCTGATTACAGCTGAGCTCGCAACTAGCTTCCCTGAGAACGGCGGATATGTTCTTTGGATATCTGCGGCTTTTGGACCCTTCTGGGGATTTCAAGAAGGTTTTTGGAAGTGGTTCAGTGGGGTTATGGACAATGCACTTTACCCGGTTCTGTTTCTCGATTACCTGAAACATTCGTTTCCAATATTCAATCACTTGGCTGCCCGAGTTCCAGCTCTATTGGGAATTACGGTTTCTCTGACATATTTGAATTATAGAGGTCTAAACATTGTTGGGTTCTCGGCTGTTGCTCTTGCCATCTTCTCGCTTAGCCCCTTTCTAGTAATGGGTTTTCTTGCAATTCCACGGATAAAGCCTAAGAAATGGTTGGTTATTGATTTTGGCAATGTGGATTGGAGGGGATACTTCAATAGCATGTTCTGGAATTTGAATTACTGGGATAAGGCAAGTACCTTGGCTGGAGAGGTTGAAAACCCAAGCTGCACGTTTCCTAAGGCACTGTTTGGAGCTGTGATTTTGGTGGTTTCTTCATACTTGATTCCACTCCTTGCGGGAACAGGAGTTTTGGATTCTGCACCAAGTGAGTGGAGTGATGGCTACTTTGCAGAGGTTGGGATGTTGATAGGAGGGTTCTGGCTCAAGTGGTGGATTCAAGCAGCTGCCGCCATGTCTAATTTGGGGTTATTTGAGGCTGAGATGAGTGGTGATGCCTTCCAGCTTCTTGGGATGAGCGAAATGGGGATGCTTCCCGCTATATTCTCTTCAAGGTCAGATTTTGCCTGATTTTATTTCCTGACTAATCTAATATCATGGACAGAAATGTAAACCGTCTTTTTTTATTAATCTTTTTTGGAACTTTTTTTTGCTAACACTTTTAAAACTATAATTAAGCAGAAAATTCTGACTTTTACTTTTGTTTTAGTTTGCAAATGAAAAAATATATCACACTGAATGAATGCATGACACTTTATATAAATGAATCTTTCAGATCAAAACATGGGACCCCCACCATCAGCATTTTGTGTTCTGCAACTGGGGTTGTACTATTGTCATGGATGAGCTTTCAGGAGATATTGGAATTTCTTAATTTCCTCTATTCTATAGGAATGCTTCTTGAGTTTGCAGCTTTTATAAGATTGAGAGTAAAAAAGCCTGATCTTCAAAGACCTTACAGAGTTCCTTTACAAACATTTGGGGTGACAATGCTTTGCCTACCTCCTGCATTTTTGCTCGTTCTTGTTATGTGTCTGGCTACAGCCAAAACTTTGATAATAAGTAGCAGTGTTATTATAGTGGGTGTGGTTCTGTACCCTATCATAGTCCATGTAAAAAAGCAGAACTGGGCCAATTTTGGTACTGCACCAGCGGTGCCATCTGATGATGGCCTGGAAACCCTTCCAATTGTGTCTCATCAACATCCAGAGGTTTTGGATGAGGCTTCCATAAGCCTTCTTTCAGAGTTGTCTTCCATCAGCAGAGACAAACAATCAGGTGAGGTCACAGCAGAGGGGGTCCTAAAATTGGAATAGAAGAATGTTTATATTTTTGTGTGGTCAGTGTTTCTCGTCGACGATGTTGGAGGGATCTCGAAACTTGCGTGGAATACTCTTGTACCAATGTAACTCATGCATGATGGTTGTTCTTATCAGAATAATGATTCTACATTTATGCCTGAGATTTATAAGGAAATAATAGTTTCTGTTTATGTAATTTATTATCTTCCTTATGGGTTAGTGCTTTAACACCTTAAAAGACTTATTTTATTTTATCTTATTTAAACCAGAAACTCATCATTCAAGGCAATATTAGAAAGTTGCTACATAATAATTGGTAATGGTAGTACTGGTGGTGGCAGTTGGTGCTGCTGGCCAGACCTAAGGTGGTTTTAGCATCATAAACTATAGAGTATATACCTTAACAAGGATACCTTAATGGTTTACTTGCTTCTTGTTTTAGGAGTTCAAAACATGGTAAGTTGGTGGCATATCTTCTAGTGAAGATCATTTAGAAACATACATACAGTCACATGTAGCTAGATGTATACATAACTATATATATGCATTCATATGATCATTTCGACATTTCCTAATTGGATCAGGTATAGGAGCTTTGTAGATGAATCCACCTATTTCTTCCACATGGAGGAATCTTGTGACTGCTTTGAGCATCATCATACATGGAACCCCTTGATCAACTGCGTACCTGTTCACTGCCCCATCTATGTCAGCCATATACTCCACCTTGTGTTTGAGGTTCACCTCAACAATAATAGCTACCTAATTATTCAGAATTTCCTTAAACAAAAAAGAAGGTTTTGTTTTTTGCACACATGACAAGGTCTTCTCAGTTAAATTTATCCAGTATGATAAGGGTGGATTGAGGAACATTGGAGATTCTTTTGAGCCCTAAAATAAACTGCAGAGATGAAAGATTCCTGGGTTGTTTAGACTCTCTGACTAAGGGATCTTTATTAATATGAATCTATCTTTAGATGCCTCCATGAAGGAGCATTCCTTGGTTAAAGAAACTTCAGCAGCAAGTGGTTACCGCACATCATCTGGTTTTCCCTGATTGCTGAATATGCACATGATTACATCCAAATTCAGAAGGATACCTTCCAACCAGTTCTTTTTATTTCTATTTATTTACTTTTTTATGTTTGTGGTTTACATATGTCATCAGTCAGTGGGTAGGTCATCATCACCATCCTCCATGCCTTATCCCAACTACATGGCGTTGGCTACATGAATGAAAATCACGATCATCTTCCATACCTTCATTCAGTAGGTAGGTGCTTTCTCTAATATTAGCATTCAGTATTTTATGCTAAGAGCCCACCTTCATTACTAATGAAAAAGAACATCTTGGACTTGATTATGTTCAAATTGAATAACCACATCTATTTCAGAATCCAGATCCACATATTTTTAGCCATATTGCAAATCCAAAATGATTTTCAAAGGCAGCACTTTTTGTCTCTTTAGCTAAGTCAGGAAATTCTAGGCATCATATTTCTTGGCCTATTTTGAATGTCTCATATGAGAAAACCCTAGCCTTGAAGAAATTTCCATATGAACATTTTGGATGATTAAAGCTGAAAAACTTTTGCATCTTTTAAAGGTTGAGAACTTACATGTGAAAAATCTATTCTTCAAAAAAAGTTCTTCCATGGTGGTTCCCAACATAGTCAATATCTTCAATCTATCTGGAGCTAACACCAAAGAAGATGGGCAAAAAACTGCTCATGTTTCTCGGTTTCATCAGGTCATTGCTAAATTTCTAAATAGTTGGAGCAAGGTTTAGATGGTGATGATGGTTATTGCTAAATTTCAGAATATTCATGGCCTTCCAGAGGTTTAAGACTTCAACATTAAATGAAACTCCAAGATTTAGACTCTTAAAACTAATTTGAGAATTTTCTTAGGTTTAAACATATGGGTAGCTGATAGGATTCCGCTTCAGCAGAGCACTGAGCAGGGATACCCGAGGCCCAGGTTCATCCATCTCTTGCTTCAGGTCCAGAATCAGCAGAGCACAAGGTTGTACCCCATGCAACACCTCCCATCAAGTTTGTCTACACCAGGAAGCCATGCCAGAATAACTAATTCGACCTCCCCATGTGCGTGGTGGCTGGCATGAATTGACTGTTATGATCAGGCTATAGTGGCTGAAATCCTCAGAGCACAATAAGAAAAATCATTCGAAACTTCTCTTCCATCTCCGTTAATTTCTTCTCTTCTCTTTCCATTTCAGGAGGAAGAGCTCCCTCGAAGAAGCTATTTTTGTCTTGGGTCTTATCAGTAGCCAAATAAAGTACTCTTAAAATACTTTACAGCTAAGTAGGGCTAAAATTTAAACACATTAGGATAGGTTTTGAAACAACTAGATCTCCCACTTGAGTTACAAAAATCCTTGCAACCACATAAATTCAAGGGAAACAGAGCTCTTGACTGAGTAGGAAAAAAAATCTTAAGGAGAAATTCAGATTGGTTAATTCCAGATAGACCCATAGAAATTTCTTATTTTTGCATCAAGATGTTACTGTGGATTCCAGAGATGCTTTATGGGACCCACAAAAACTCCCTCCCTCTTTCTCTATCATCAGTGTGCATATGTATGCCCTTGCAATGCCAACTTTTTCTTTTTTCTGTTTAGTTTTACTGTAAACTGGGTGACTTAATAAAAGTTTCTATATTTCTGACAAAAAATTCTATAAATTTGTAATATAAGGTTCATAATTTGTTTTTCCATAGTTGAGGAATGATGAGCTCTCAAGCTTTTGCGTTGTTTTCTTAAGTATCAGTGTTTATGACATATTGATTAAAATATCACTATTATTTTCACAGCATTTCATAATTCTGAAAACTCCTTGAATAGTTTTTTCAGGACCCTCTTAATCTGTTATATTAAATTTAAAACAGATTCTTTGAATATGTAAATTGAAAAACTTACATCAAGTTATCATAGTATATTGTATGATGCATATCAAATTTTGAACCCACTCATACACCAAATATGGGGACTTGGGGGGGGGGGGTCTATGTATAATCATCAGAACAGGGAAATTTAGAGTTTAATCCACCTCATAGACTTTTATTAATTATTTGGGTTTTATTTACCAACACCTCCACCTCCATCTATGGTTCAGTACCCCCCTTGAATTTTGATTCATTCCCCCACTTGTCACTGTTCCAATTGTACACATTGTACTGAAGTTTATGGGGGTGGACTGAACAATAAAAACCCATATATAACAAATCTTGATGTGACATGTTCACTGTTATAATGTCAAATAAAATAAAAAAAAAAGAGTAGGGTTACACTAGCATTTGCCAAAAGGGTATTGATTGATAAAAACTCTAGATACATTAATATTTCTTTTCTTTTTTCTTTTTAAATTTTGAAAAAGCCCGAAGGCCAATTCATTTAACTTCATCGATCTTAGTTGCCTCAGATTCCAAAGTTTGAATAAGAAACTGAGGGGGGCATGACCCGGTAGGGGTGCTCACGGTTCGGTCATATTTTTGAAACCGAACTGGTCTTTTGCTTTTTTGTAATATTCTGTAATGAAACCAAACCAAATCAATCAGTTTATCAGTTGATCAGGGTTCGGTTCTTTGGTTTTTTGGTTTTTTATATTTATAATATATATTATTTATCAAAAAATATATATTATGAATAGATTTATATATTTAATAATATAATATAATGCATATACATAATAATATATATTGACCAATTCCGTTAACTAGCAGTTTTTCTTATAGGTTAAATGAAATTCTGGATGGCTATTTTATGAGCAGACTGATCAGCCACATTACAGGGCCTAGGTGGGTGTGTGTGTGTGTGGGGGGGGGGGGGTGAGTAAGTAAGTAAACTCTTGCAGCTGAAGATGAGGTGTACATGCTCCAAGGAGGTAGCAAACAAGAGTTTGGCCAAGGATTCAGCATCGCCTAACACTGTGGCATTGAGAAATGCCTAAAGACAGCAAATTGAATACTCTCCAACAAGGCAGATGCTTCCAAAGAGCAAGTGGCCATGGTCGTYATGAAGTAGAAGTACTATACTTGCACCAGATTTAGATGCTGAAGTGGCTCTCGAAATTTATTTTCACAATTAGCAATTAGGAGGCTTTAACCAATGCTCTCTGGGAGTGCGGAGTTGCAGTCTCCATCTCCACTCCAGGGTATGATAGTATGCATGTTTTCCTGAACGTCGCGCCACATAGTGAGTAGTGACACCGATACATGTTTACTTTTTGCGAAGGATGATAATGTCAGTTGGATCCCATTGTTGATGCCGCAAAACCATGTCGTTTCTTTTGCAAGCCATATGTACCAAAGGAAGATAAAAGGAGCCACAAGAGTTGTTTGGGTTATGAGGGTTACTTGGAACTTACCACATAGCACGTCATAGTACAAATTCAAGGCTCTTTATTGAGCTGATTGGGTAAGAAAGATCGGTTTCATTTGAGCTGATTGAATCTCATATTTTTGGTTTGGGTGCTGTAGGCCCAGATTCTTGATCTTCCCTTTGTTATCCCTACGGACTCTGAGGCTATGAACAAGTATATATGATGCCCTTTTTAATATTGGCTTTTTTATGGGTAAACAAAGTCATCATATAACTTACCTAAGAATTAATATAAAGTATTTCCAAGTAAGTGTTTATCTACGTAAGTACACTTGCCTCCCTAAATGGCTTTTTGTAAAACCAACAGGGCCTTAAAGTTTAAAACCCACATGTGTGAATGTGATTGATGTGGAGTGCAAAGCTGAATTAAAAACTTATTTTGTTGTTTACTGAATTTATAACCCTAAGCCGAAGGCTTAGATTAGAGCCCTTGAGTAGTTGGGCCCTTTCCCTTGGCTAATATATATTTATCTATACTAGTATTAAAAGTGTAAATGAGGGTATAAAACTTTTATTTGACTAAAATACCCTATTTTTCGATAGTCTAACTCTAATTGTAGGGAGAAAAGTGTAATTTGAATAATCATTTTTGTGTTCATTCAAATCCCTCTTATTAAGTCTTACATTTAAGGTATTAACTCTCATTAACATTCAAATTCCTCATTTTTTAATTGATTTGAACCATTACACTTCTCCTCATTCAATTCGTGCTCATTAAGTTTTATATTTAATGTGTTAATTTATATTCTTTTATTGAATCTTATATTAGTTAGTCATATTAAAAAAATAAGTGCAATAAAGAATAATTGTTTTTATTGATGAAGGAATAAAACCAACCAAACAATGAAGTTGTTTTCCTATTTAGTGGTGAATTAACAATTTAACTTTTTAGATCAAATGTATCAACCTTTAGTATCATAATTAAATAATAATAAAAATTAAAAAAAAAGATAAAAATAAACAAAGGTGTAAAAAGTACAAAAAAATCATAAAAAGCATTTGAACATATCTCTAATATCATATATTTATCATATTAAACAAAAACAAGTATAATAAATAAGAATAATTTTATAACATAAAAATATAAAAAATTAAAAATATATCATTTACTATCATCAATTCATTATCATAAAAAATTCACACTGGCAAGTCAATTACACACACTTACCAATAAATAAAAAAAGAAGTGATTTATTCCAACCCAACAGGAGACCGGAGGCATAGAACATGCACTTGCCGTTTGACCCAAACCTAGGAAGGTTCGGAAAGTCTAATCCAACAAAGAGTCCTCAAGTCTCGACTCGTCTCTCTTCCTCGTCTAACAGCATTCTAAATACAAAATACACTTTTAATAATAAGCGCTAAGCGCTAACACAGACAGTGATCGAAACAAAAGCTGAAACACCGGAAAATAGTGAAGGTGTGCAAATTCAACCAAAACCAGCCTCTTCTTTGGAACCAGGTCTGTCCTACTTTTCTTCTTACTCCATTCTATCTTTTTTTAAGCCATCAATTTACTTTGTCGCCTTACTATTGTTCTTCATATCCCAATAGGGTTTCAGTTTCCTCTCGAATCAAAATTAATCTTCAGAAACTGCAGGTCTTTTTGTTTTCCTTTTAATTTTTCCATCGTCATTGTGCACGCTTTGTTTGTGATATCCACGTAGGGAAGAGAAACTTCATATAGTTGATTTCTGTTTCAACTTCTGTTCTTTAGTTATAAGAACTTGAGATTCTGTTAGTTCAATGAACTTGATGCACTACGTTTTGAGTTCAATTACTATTGGCTTTTGCTTGTTTCTTCCAAAACTCATAAACTCAACTGAAATTTTGAAGAACAGTTTACTGCCTTCGCTGCAATTGCCGTAACATCCCGATGGACATGGATTCCAGCGACTAGGGTTTCGCGTTTCAAACCGAAAAGCGCAATCTTTGTTTATCTGGATTCTTTCTGCGACTTTTCTGTGTTTCTTCGGAATTCCGTTTTGATGATTGTGAGGAACTCGGAGATCGAGATGCCACCATGTCGGCATTCCCCCCGAATTGACACTCTAGAGCTCAAAGCTCAGATCGTCAGGAAGTTGGGACATCAGAAGGCAGTGAAATACTTTAGTTACCTCAGCAGATTATTAAGCCTCAAGCTTTGCAAGTCCGAGTTCGATAAACTCTGCATTAGTACCATTGGGAGGAAGAATCTCTCTCTTCACAACCGGCTTATTGGATCCATTCTCAAGAATGCCTCTGTTGCTAAGACTCCCCCATTGAGAGGGAGCAGGGTAGAAACTCTCCTTAATGTTAAAAATGGGTATAAGTATCAAGGAAGTAATCTTCAGATGCTCTCTGGAGAAGTCTTTCCTCCATCCCCTCGCAAGGGAAGGTCTTCAAGTCTTCGAGTGCTCAAGTCTAGGGATGGCCTGAGTTCCCTTGGGCCCCATGGGAAGATCCAGAGCATGGTCTGCGATGAACCAGCTCCTGCTGCTCAAGAGCAGCAAAGTGCTACAGAGCTGTTTTCTCTAGGTAGCAGACCCCCTGCAGAAGTTGTTTCTGTTGAAGAGGGAGAAGAGGTTGAACAGGTGGCTGCCAGCCCAAGCATTCAAAGTAGAAGCCCTGTCAGAGCTCCTCTTGGTATCCCTATAAATATGGCCGGATCACGTAAATTTCTTTGCAATGGACCCTTATCTGCTATTCCCCTAGAGACCTGTCATAACAGCTGTGAGCTACCAGATACCAGGTCTTTAAGGAAACGATTGGAACAGAAGTTGGAGATGGAGGGACTTCGCATCTCAGTGGATTGTGTTAATCTGTTGAACAATGGGTTGGATGTGTTTCTGAAGAGGTTGATTAAACCCTGCATGGAATTAGCTGGATCAAGGGGTGGGCATGAACACCTAAAGCAAGTTGGGTTGGTCAAACCTGCTTTGAATGGGATATTATCTGAGAGATGCATGCAAAGATCTAGCCACTCACTTCCTGCATCCTTGTTGGATTTTCGGGTGGCAATGGAATTAAATCCTCAAATACTTGGAGAAGATTGGCCCATTCAACTTGAGAAGATTTGCTTGCGTGCATCAGAGGAATGAAGAAGAGAAGTCTGATTCATATTGAATGAGTTGGAGTTTTTTTTGATTGGTATTGAATGAGATTAAGTTCATCAAGCAGTGCTGATATAGAGTTGTTAGATTGAGATTCACTTCTGACATGCATCTTGACAGTCATCTCTCATGCAATTTTTACTGGTCACACCTGGAAATAAGTTGTCAATGCTATGAATAATTGAAGGATTGGATAGGAGTAAGTATAAGCACCGGCATTTCCTGGGATTCTGGGACATGTTAATACAGAAAAATGTAAACTTACAAATACTAGAAGAATCTCAGAACTTTTTGACCCTTTTCAGCTGATATCCTTTATTTGATCATTGTATTAACTTGCACTTGTAAATAAAACTTTATCTGTCTTCAAAGAGACTGCAATTAGTATATAGAGTTTTTTTCTACAATCTAAACTTTAAAGCACTGATTGCACGATTCTATCACATTACATTTTTCTGCTTCTTTTCTTATTTATTCCCTATTAGCTAATTTTAAATTTGAACATACTATGTTTCCAGTGAACATAAATTCAAAAAGAATTTCAGCATGAAACCATTTGTCTAAAATGGGATAATAAAACAGAGACAAAATCTAAACAATTTTTTGGCTTGAGATTTCCACTCTTTTCAGTATTACTTGAACTGATTGCTGTTTGGACTCAGAATTTTCTTGAAACATCTTAATAACTAAGGAGTCATATCTTTCTTTTTTTGTAGTACCATTAAGTTCTATAATTTCTCTATTGCACTTGTGTGTCCGACTAACTTCTAATTTGCAGCAAAGCATGTTTACAATAAGCTATAATGACACTTTTTTTGCTTAATGATTTTTGGTCCATGCACGAGGCATCCATTGGCTAATAGTTCCTTCTCTGGTTGAAAGTTGAAAAGAAAAAAATCTCAGTGCTTGAAGGTACCACCGTACCACAGGCCTAATAGCAGAGTACATGCCTTGTAACCCATTCTTCTCCCCTTACTCTTTTTGTTTGCTTCTTTTTTTCTTTTTTATCTTTTCATTATAGCTACTTAAACACGGAAGTTGCCATCAGTTCAAGGTTGCTGTTGCTTTTGCTTAATTGTAGTTCATTCTATTGGCGAGAAATGACCATTTCTAAGGACAATTGAAGGTTATGTAGTAGCCACTAGGAGTTCGAAGTCCATCATATGCTCTAATCTCATAGACCTTCTTGATTTCATGTTTTTATGTTATGTGTATTAATCACTATGGCTTTGTTACAGGTTAGGATTGTCAATAGAAAACTTGTTAACGGATTGGGAAAAAAACATATCCTGATAGGATTATTATTATCATGGCATTGCAATAATTTTTGTATATTTGATGCTTCCAGTCCGCATTTTTGATGGGTGTTCCTGTCTCCTTTATGTATTATCTCTACATGTACTGCTTGTCAACAGTTTGCTTAACTACAAGTCAATCGCAGAGACATCTCCTTTCAGACTTCCTGGAGTTGGTAACCTCTTTATTTTTCCCTTCTTGCAGGAGTATAGGGTAGTTTGATTATCAGGCAGGAGACTCTGAATTGACCTAATCTGGATGATTTCCGACCTTGTAAATAAATATTTGCCCGGGTAGACCCTCTCTCTTTTCGTGAAGTTTTAGTATGGTAGTTAATCCACCTCTCAACGTGCACAAAAAGTAGGGTGAAAAAAAAGAAGAAAAGAAAAAGAGGTTTTTATTGTTCAGTCCCCCTCAGAAATCTCCACAGTTGGGAACAGTGTCGGGGGGGGGGGTGTTAAGTGGGGGTATGGGACAATACATTTGGGGAACCAAGTCAACGGAAATCAACTGGACTTGTTCCAGCTCCGGTTGGCTGTTGGCCCAATAAGAAGTAAGAACAATAAAGTTTGTGATTGTTTGGATTTAAGGCTGTGTTTGGAAATGATGCAAATAAGTGTGAATAAAAATATGTAGAGTGAAACGGTTCATATAAATTGCAAAGTTAGTTTAGTTTTGTACCAACAAATTTAGCATTTTATCAAATAGACTTTTAGCTGTAATGGATGCAAACTCGACTTCTAATAAAGCATAGGCATTTTTTTATATCAAAAGCCCACTTGAATGCAAATTTATTTATTTTTATTGATGTACTTTTACATCTTATTATTAATGTAAATATGCATTGGAAAATGTGTTTTTTGTCATTTGTCAATGCATAAATGATAAATGTAATGTTGCCAAATACAGGCAAAAGTGAATTAGTTTACACTCCATTTGCATCGTTTCCAAACGCAGCCTATAGGGGCAAAAATTCATGATTATTTTTTGGGAGAATGACTATTCACAGCCCAGGGTCAGAATTTATGGGCTCAGTATATTTGGGGTAGGTGCCAGCTCGGAATTGATGCCAATTCACCGGTGGATATAGGTGCATAGAATATGAGTTTTTGACATTTTGAATGTTTATAGATTTACAGTGGAATTCAGAAATCTGCATTAGGCTTGTCCGTACTTTTCCATTTCTTTTCTCCTTACATCCAAACCTCTCTCTATGTATTATTACATGGGACTTGGTGAAATGGCGAGGACATGGCAGATAGCAGGGTGCATGGAGAGTTTTAACATGTTGATTGGTTAACGATTAATACTTAATTGTGGATACCTTGACAATTAGCAACGGGATCCTGAAACTCCTGATCTTCTAAAATTTCAGATGGCACTTGTGTCACGCTAAGCTATCTTGGCCTATCTCTCTGCATGTAAAGTAAGTCATGACTCATGTCGAACTTCCCTGCCTCGTATGGAGTCATCCCACCACATGAAATACTGTATTCCTTTGCACTTAAACCTGTAGGCTTCCACAGTTGAATATGATTAATCCTGCATTTGACATTTCTTATTTTAAGGACTTGTCTCCTTTTTCATAAGGGCATTTTAACTATAAAATGGAAAAAGTCCTTAAAATAAAGAATGCCAAATGCAGCCTAAGGATATTTTCAGTGGCAGGACAATTTGATGGATGTTAGAGTTGGGGCACATGGCTTGCAGGTTGCAAGTCTGGACTATGGAGAACTGCATTGATGATAGCAATTAGCAAAGGAAACGAGCACGTTGCTTTACAATGTTTTCAAAACCAGACCAGACTGGATGATCCGATTGGAAAAACCAGAAACTGGTCATCTGGCTGGTACCATTTTACCCAGAAATCGTGTTTTGTCCTAAAACCACTGATTTGGTCAGTGAACCACTGACCTGGGCGGTTGAACCATTTGAATTATGGACAACAGTTTTTGACAATTTTTTAATTTTTATTAAAATGGGTCATTTGTTTGATTTGAATGATAGAACCATTTGACCCGAGAACCGAACCCTTGAATGATTAATTATCCAATTCAATTTTAAAAACCTTGTTGCTTTAGGATCTGTTTGCGCTGTTCTGACTTCTGAGTCTTCCGACTTCCAAAATCCCTTATGATTGCAATTAATAAATACTATAATATAACTCGTTTAACCTTGATCCAAAATGTTTGTGGTCGGCCACAGAAGGCTTCGGACACAAGAAATAGAATGATGATCTTTACTCATTATTATTATTTGATCAAGACTCATGTTTTCTATCAAATTATAAAAAAAACTTTGATTATTATTGTATGTATAGTTATAGGGTTAATACTTCATTGTTTCATTAAACTATTTAAAATATACAGTTGTGGTTTCTAAAACCACTTTGTGACACAAATAGGTTCTCCGGTGGTAAAACTTTTAGGGTTGTTTACAATTTACACGTGTTATCTCAGGCATCATGTATTTTATTTTAATTCTAATTTTACTCCTTTGTGACTATGCCACTGCAAAAGTGTAACCACCCCTTCCCCCTGTTTCTCACATGTCACCACCGATTCCCTCCAGTCATCAATACCATATTTCTCAGTTAGTTTTGGGGGTTGTTTTTTTTTTCTGGATTTTGAGAGAGGGGAAAGTTGGCCAAAGGATTTTGATTTTCATTCACCAAAAATCTCATGTTTTTTTTTTTAGATTTATGTGGGGATCAGGGAAATTTTATTTTCCTATGTATCACTTACCCAGGATACTCATCTCCTAGGTGGGTAAATAACTTTCCCACCTTGGAAGAAAGTTGCCAACACTTGAAAGGGACAAAAATGCCCCTTGTAATCAAGGTTCAAAGTATCGACACGTATCGGCCCGTCTTGTTCCGGGACCCCACTATAGGGGCGTATCAGGGGTCTGACTAGTTTAGGGGATAGAAGAGACCTAAACCGCCCCCCTTGAACCAGTTTCAAAAAAAAAAAAAAACTAAAATATAGTATCGATTTTCCTGATACGCCCATACTGGCATATCAGGCGTATCGATAATTTTGAACCTTGCTTGTAATCATGAATTTTTATGGACAAAATGGTTAATGCCTTATTTTCATGAAAAATAAAAGAACATGGGTAAATGCACCTACCCGGGTAAATCTTTACTAGGAAACAATTACTTGGGAAAGTGCATTCACCTAGGTAAGTAACTTACCAAAATGTGAATAGGGCCTGGGTTTCGGATGTTTCCCTAGTGTGTTCTTCTCTTAGGCTCAGTTTGGAAGGAGTACAAATATAAATATGTACAATATAGATACATGCAAAATAATATAAAACTAGAAGGGAAGCCCCTGCGGAAAAATGACATTGGTATAGTGACAAATAAATTAGATTGTTTTTGAGAGTTTAGGGTATTCGAGTGTTGCAATTGAAAGTTTAGGGTACCTATCTGTCACTACCCCAAAGTACATGATATCTATCTGAAATTTACTCTAATAAATTAGATTATTATTTTTGTTAAATAAAATAACTATAACTATATTATTTAAGAATAATAAATAACTATTGACCCAATTATATTATCAAAATATAATTGAAAACAATAGTTGTTGGGTCTAGGTAGGACTAATTTCGAATCGATTATTTAATCAGGATAAAATTATAGACCCAATTATATTTAAAACAGTAGTTGTTTATTCAAATAATAACTTAAATTTTAAATTTTGATAATATAATTTTAATAAAAATAATAGAAAAATACTAAATTATTTGTATGTTAATAAGTCAAAGGTGTATTCATGTGTATCCAAAATTTTCTTTCTATCTATACATATCCAAAGTTGCACCCGATTTTATATCACATAAGTAAAATGTGATGCCATGTAGATAGATAGATAGATAGGTAGATAGGTAGATAGGTAGATAGATAGACAGATAAATAGATAGATGGGTTTATATTTGGGCATAAGGAGTGGGCACCTGCCTTAGGTGTAATTGGATTTGCCTTCAGACCAAACACAACCTTAGAGAATTGATTCAAGGTTTTGCCTTGAAACCCAACCAAATCAACCCATACTCACCCCTAGATCCAACCGTTA